ATGTAGACAAATGTTGTACATAAACCAAATTCAATTTCCAGAATTTGGAAACGTTTTCAAGATTCTGAGGCTTTAAAAAAAATGATTCCCTCTAGTTTGGAGCCCAGCTACGCCCTTACAATTCGTTCTTGTCCAATCAAGAGCTAAGCATTGCGAGGAGGTCGAAATATGTTAAGTCCTTCTGCCGTCCTGCCGTTTTGTTAAAGATTTTTTCATTCGATTACTTGATATCCCGATAGAACCGGAAACTCTTCAAATTTTCACAAGTTTCAAAAGAATCATCTGATCGTGAAGATATTTTTTTCCGGCGCTGGGGTTTGGCAAATTATTTGCAAAAAAGCAAAATAAAATAAAAAATCCATATGATTTTTGAACAAAACGACAAGAGAACCAATCCCGAGAGCATGAGGATGTCCAATCAACACTCAGAGAACATACCGGATGATATCTTCTGACAGAACTTCTGCATTCGAGACATCAATTCAGGTCTGCTTTCAACGAGATTCAGAGATTGATGATGCCTCGGTGACCCCCATACGGATCACTTGAAGTTCATTCCAGAAACCACTGTTTCTCTCTGTGCAATAAAGAGTTAAGCATTGCGAGGAGATCAAAATATGTTAAGTCCTTCTGCCGTCCTGCCATTTTGTCAAAGATTTTTTTTAGTTTGCGTACGGTCGTCGTGATCAGGTGTTCGTATCTGTCGTAATGGTTTGTAAGTAGTGATATGATGGGCTCGGTGGTCTAGTGGCGACCGTTTTGCTTACTGAGCAGAAGTGCAAGGGTTTAAACCCAGGATCCTTCACATCAAAGAGATACTCTTCTGTTTCGCCATAGGATCAAATGATTTAACAAATCTTTTTCATTGGATCGCCGTTCATAATGGGTTGTTGTTGTTGTTGTTGTTGCTTCTCACAGTTCGATAGTCTTGTAGCAAAGAAACCGTGTTTGTTTACTGAGCAGAAGATCGTGGATTAAATCCAAGATTTATTTTTACTTTAAATATTTTTGTAGAGTCGTAGATTGTTGAAAATCGCTACTGATAGAACTCGATCAAAACTGTGATGTTGGTAAAATATAACGTATGCTTTAAACGGGTTCGAAAACATAGTTGAGCCCAGCCGGGGACATCAATCTATTTGAATAGTTTCATTGGCAATGGTTCAACGTCTTTTGTTGTGATATAAGGGGCTCGGTGGCCTACTGCCAAACGGTTTTGCTTACTGATCAAAAAAACGTGGGCCCGAAATGAATTTCAGACTCAGCCTTCTCCGATTTGCATGAATCTTTGCATAATTGTTAGTTATGGTTAATCCTTCATATTTGAACTAAAATTCGGCCATTTTCAATCTCGCAAAACAAATCATAACTCGAAAATGTATCTGATTCTGATCAACCACGTCAGCCACGTTGCAGTTACTTGCCACACAATTATAATAATGCAAAATCAAAAGTCTCAATTAATAACTGTGGAAGTACATCTAGAACACTATGTTGCGAGCACGCAATAAGCTAATATGCGATAAGAAAGAAACTGCAAGGAGATGTTTGGAATACATTCCGGAAGAAAGAGATTTCAGGGGGATATTAGCACAAAAATCCCTGAAGTTCCTTACATGTTTTAATGATTCAGACAATTTTACTGATATTCTTGAAATATCCCTGAAGACCTCGCAATGTCTCCTAAGCTTTCGAAACATTCCTGAAATGCTTTTTGGAATATCCCATAATTCCTCGGAAGTTAATTAAAGTTCTTACAATTTTCCTGAAGTTAGAGGATCTGTTTTGAAATCCTCTAATCATCCTTGAAGTACTCGGAGCTTCCCTGAATATAATGAGGCTGCCGGAAAATCCCTAACCAGCTTTGACGGTATCTGGACTGTCTTGAAGATTTCGGAACTTCTTAGGTGCTCTTACAATTTTCTTTAAATTAATGGAACATCAGCATTGAAGTTCTGTGATCAAATCTTCATTCAAATATTCTCACAATTTTCTTATGTTTATGTAACTTACCATAAGAATTTGCATGAACCTCTCGGAACATTTCTGAAGTATTCGGAAATTCCTTGCGTTTATCGTAACTACTTTAAGGTTTCAGCCACTTTCTTGAAATTAATTGATCTGTCCTGATATTCTCAGAGCTTCCCCAAATTTATCTAATTTCTCCTGAAACGAATGGAACTGTCCTGAAAACCATTACATTTCTCTGAAGTTCTTTGACTTTGTGTGAAGTTCCCAAAATATGACAAAGAATGATCAAAATTACACTTTTTGTTACCAGGACGTTTTTGTAATTGACGATAAAATGAATGAGATTTTGACAAAGATTTTATTGAGAAACAATTCTTCCAGTGACGATGCCAAAATAAAATTGTCAATATCGCGTGAAGTCTTTCAGTGACAATGACAAATCCCAGCACTGATTCGGAGAAACCTTATCTGTACATCGGTATCAAGTTCAAAAATCGTTATAAATACCGATAAATCGGTATATCTGGCAACGCTGGGATGGAGTATCAGAGATGTGGCCAGTACCTGGATCTCCAGAAATTCAGTTCTGGAGACTACTTCTACTCACGAATAGAAGATCAATTCTTGCTCATTTTCAAACACGAGTACGATGGAGTGTCAGATTGTCTAATTTATAAATCTTCTATAAAACGCTATAGAAGTTCTATAAAACGCTATTTCTCACTCAACCTATCAACAGGCATCTGCTTATCTGAATTGCTGTTCACCGATACGCTTCTTCTTTTCACAGCAACATTGCTCCTTATCTTTGAAATCTTGTAAACAACCACTGCAATGCGAGAAAACGACCCCTGTTGACACTCGTTATTCTATGTTTGTCTTCCCTAATAAAAATAACCATAAAAGAGGTTAACGGCGTGTTTGGGGTATCATTCAAACCATTTGTGGGATAGTTTACCCATCCGGGATACAGTTCGTTTATGGTATTTGTTTATTAGGGTTTACAATAGGATGATATCGTCGAGTTAAGGTAACCTATTTTCAGCCCGTTGTTCGTTCAAGTCAGATTGAAATTTTCCATATAAATAGTTTTGAAAGCGGTCAACTACTTTACAAAGATTCATTCTGATAACTTCCCTTTTAACCGCAACATTTGACACCAGGTCGCTAATCGATCCGCACATTAAATCTCGGCTACAGGATTTAAAATGGCAGTCACGCGGTTGAGTCTCTGTCTCTGGCTCTATTTTCGGTTCGTGACACTCTTTATCTATTGACATGCCCCATTTGCTGTCATTTCCACTTCCAAACCATCACGAGTTGGCAATTTCGCTATTCTGCGAATGCATCATTCTCTCTGTGTTGCATAAACAAAGTTGACAGAGCTAATCAAAATCCCGACACACGAAGGATTATCGTGTCAGGAACACGTACCACCGTGTGTGTGTGCTCAAAATACAGGTGATAATCACTCTGTCATGGTGAGTCCCCTCCACGGAGATTGACATCGAGCGGTGTCAGTGTCAGGTTTGCAGAGAGTACTACTTTTGAGCGCATTTCGGACTATGCAGGCAGAGCCTGCAATGATGCACTTATTGATTTATCCGACGTAAGCGGGATGGATATTCTGATTAAATGAATTTTGCATGGGATCGGATGACGATTTCAGGTGAGCCGAATACTCATAATCCACAATTAAGCATGATATGCTTGTCAGTACCATAATCAACAATTCATCCGACGTACAATTCGAAAATTTCACCCACAACCGACCCTTAACCGGAAGCCTCACCCAAATTGACCACTTTCGTCACCCGCAAAACTGTAGACCGAAAGTCACGTTTCTAAATTACCAATTCCCACAACTCAACCGAGCTGACAATCAATTTCCCCACATTTTTCGTCATCGTTCAGGACCCCCTACCCCCCCCCCCCCCTTCCCCACTAGGTTGCTCGTTGCATTCATAAATCACCTGTGGCAGTACACGAGCGTGTAACAGCGTTTGATTTCGTTTAATGGCTTCTGCCTTCTGCCCATACCGGTTTCTGTGTAAGGTGAGCTGAAGGCGCCGCAAACGCTTTCCAATCATTATTTCTCGAGTCTCGGAGAGTTGTCTCGTCGATTGTCAATTAAGCGCTTTGTCATCGAAGTAGTTGATTGATATTTTTCCACCACCAGGTCCACTCAAGAACAGTGTTGCACTATTATTGTGGTTTGACTGCTCTGCTGAACCAACTGGAAGTGGGTGCAATGGAACGGAAAGAAGTGTTAAATTAGCTGGTTTTTTTGTTGGATCTGGAATGGTTTTGTTGGCAATTGTTGGGTGATTTAAAACCAGGTCATAACTAGCCAATGATTTGCGTAGAAGGGGTTGTATCGAAAGCGAAAACCTATTTGTGGTGAATTTGTCAATTTTGTGTTTCTTTGCCGAAGAATTGGGGTTCGTCGCTGTAGGCTTTCAACTCGTTGAACGTTTTATTTGCTCGCTAAATATTATTACTGAATCAACCATTCAACGTCCAGAGTTTTAAAACTTATCCCGCAGACTCGGTTGATACATTTGTAATGGAACGGCGACCACTCCAAACGGTAGGTAGACAGGTTTTACGGGAAGCACATCTTGAACTTCGCTGAATCCTTGATGTTGCGATGGGAAACGGCTTCCACTTCCACGGTTGGTACATGTCATCGTAGCAGGCAGCACTTCCCGAATGGGAATCTCCCGATCTTGCTCGACCTTTGAAGTTCGTGATCTCAAACGACATCCCCGTACTAGGCAAAATAGACACAGCAGAAGTAGAAGCAACGGTATGAAGCTCAACGGGATCAGCAACTTGCAGTCGAAATCGAAGTTTGTTCCATCGCTACCGGACGATACTTCTAACGTTTGATTCGACTCGGGCCGGTAGAGCTCCATTGCGTTCATGTCAATCGGTCGCGCGACGATCTGTCATCGATCAATGCCTTCTGCTAACCGTAGATTACTTGGATGCTGATCGAACCAAATTCTTCTTCCATTCCATTTCAGAAACTCCGACACCGCTTCGAACTACGTGGACCGGGTGCGCATCCGTGACTCGTCCAGCTCATTCGGTGGACCGGGCCGAGGATCCGGGTGGCGTCAAAAGTCCCTTTCGAATATAGATCTCCCGACGAGCTATCGGGGCATTGCCGGTGGAGTGGCCGGTACTGGTGGCCTGGTTGGTGCTGGTCAGTTTCGCTACCGCGACTATGACTCAGGACTGTACGATCTATATTCGCGCATAGACAGCCACCGGGAAGAGTACGATGATCTGTACGGCGTGAATCCGAAGGCGTCCCGTGCAGCAAGCAGCGCCAGCAGCAAACAACGACAACAGCAGAAACAACGTGATCAGGAACGTGATCAGCAAGCTCAGGATCAAGACCAACAGCAGCAACGGCAGAAGCATCACCACCACCATCACCATCGGCACCAGGAGTTCTACAACGCGGACGGGAACGACGCTTGCAGCTTGCGACGAACCCGTAGCCTAGCGGTCATCCGCGAGGAAACCTACAACGATCTACATCTGCACGGACGTGGCGCTCGACGATCACAGCTCATCCCGAGGGCAAAACTCGTCGATCGTAACTTTTTCAAAGACAGGTAACTCACCCCCTTATTGAAAAAAAAAACCCTCTGACCCCCCTCCATTCAACAGATACAACTTCATTTACGACGACGGCGAAGCATCGGAACCAGCCGAAAACGACTCTCACTACACCCTGGCGCGGCGTTTCTCCGCTGCTCAAGGTCAACCGCCGTTTCCGTGGCACACGGATAAGAGTGACCTGGACAGTATCGATTCGTCGATCTTCAAGCATTCGCTCCACCAGCAGAGCAGCTTCGAGGGTAGCCGACACAACTCAATCCGCAGCGGTGATTCGTCCAAATTCGTCTCCAAGGTCGAAGTACACAGCGAGTACTCCGGAGCATCCAAGTCGGAAACGGGCATCGAAGCGGACCTGAAACATTTGGATGACCTATCGCTGCGAGAGGAAGCTCCGCCCAGGCCACCCAGCAAGACATCAACGCTAGAAACGATCAAGAACCACTATCACCGGGACGGAAAGTTCACCGTCAAGGAGGAGGAAGAAAGCGGCATAACCATCATCGAAATCAAAGACAGTCAAGTTTCAGCCAAGAGCTCCAGCGTCATTTCCTACGATTCCATCTACCTTTCTTCGGAAAGTGACGACAAGGACGTCCTAGACGAACTACTCCCCGACGTTCGCCTAACCGAAGACAACGACCTGATCGACATCAAGATCGAAGACTACGACGACCTGTTCAAGGAAACAGATCTGGAGAAAGCCGAAAGCACCATCGATACCCTGTACGGACAGGTCACGAAACCCAAGCCAAAGATTGTTGCCGTCGAACCAAAGATTCAACCAAACGACTCCCTCAAGCGGTACATCAAAAACACTAGTCGCGGTACCATCGAGCGCCTATCGATCATCTCGAATCTCAAACTACGTCAGGAGTTTGCCACCAAAGAGAAGACTCTGGTCGACAGCGACTATCAATACAACTCGCTACCGGACGCAGCGGATGTTTGCAAAATCCTACGGAACTCCGAACGAATCGACGCCAAACTACGTCGAATTTGCGACCACGATCAATCCGGAAGATCGACCCGAACCGACAGCGAACACTACGATTCTCTTCCGCGATTGGACAAATCCAGCCTCAAGCTAACGCAAACCCCGTCAGACGAGGACGGTTCGCTGGAAGAGTCCGATAAGGGAGCTCCCTCGATCGAAGTCGTCGAAACCCCAACTAGAGAGGTGCTCAGCCACGCATCGTCCAAAGTCTACTTGAAGGATTTTGGTTTGGAGCTAGACTACGAAAACTCCGTGGTAACCAACAGCGATCAAGACAGTGACATAACGATCGTTGCTCCGCAGGAAACTCCAACAAACGTTCCTTCGATTACCGTCACACCGGCGATCGTTGTAACTCCAGCGGAGAAACCCACGGCAAAGAAAAGCGAACCAGTCATCTATTCGACGTTCGCCAGCACCGTCGGTAAGCAGACAACGAATCGGATCAATTTCGAGAGCAAGGAAAAGCCAAAACGCCATCCGGAGGCGATTGCTGAGATCAAAACCAAGCTTAAGCCGATCCCAGTGGTGGTAGATCCTACGCCGAAGATCCCGGTAGCGCTAGCTCCAACAGTTAAACTCGGTGGCAAGAAGGTGATCGTGGATGAGGTAGCTGCCAAAGCAGCGAAGCGCGAGAAAGAACTCGAAAAGTGTGTCAAAATCAAAGAGCCAACCGATACGGTTGCGAAGAAGCCTATACCAAAGAACAATTCAGAAGCTCCGATCAAGAAGGAGGAATCCAAACCGGAACCGATACCGATCGTAAACACTAGACCGCCGGATCCGAAACCTCCGGAACCGAAGGAAGGTAGCCCGAAGGTCGACCATTCTAGTTTGTTCAAGGATACGAATCCGTTCAAGGAGCAAGCCAGACGAGAGGTCAAGAATCGAGTTGTGGATCGGCCGCTGTTCAAAGGTGTTCGACGTTTTAACTCGACGGAGAACATCTACACTTCGGCACCGATCATAGTGACGAAGACATTCAACAATTTCATCAAAACTAATGAAGTGAAGACCAAATCGTTCGATTCGCTGATTGTGGAAACTACTAACGAGAGGAAACAGGAACAAAAGAAGATGCCTCGACCACAGGTGATTCAGATTGTGGACTCCAAGCCTCCGGGACAGAAGCAGGATGCTGGAACGCTTCGTAAGGGTGCCCAGGATGGGCAGCGTGTGCAGAAGGAGTTCTTGCACAAAGTAGACTCGGTCAGGAGCTACTGGTCCAAGATGATGGACGACGCCGACGCTAGGGAAGATCACGAAGCAGAGGACCTAGTGGATTCCGGAAATTTACCGCCAAAAAACGAGCAGGTGGTGCAGCCAGCAAAATCCGATGAGAAAACCGGGAGTTCTAGTTCAATGGAGCAACAGAAGCCATCACAGCAATTGCAACAACAACAGCAACAGCAGATGCCAGCGATGCCAAAAAAGTCCGCATCGCGACAGAACTCCTCCCGGAACAAATACTCCACCTACCAGATCGACGAAGGAACTGAATTTCAGAGCTTTAGTCCAACGGTGGAGATCATTGAGCTCGACGGACAGAAGCAGGCTGCACTGGTGAAACCGAAAAATTCGCACAATCTGGACTTTGACCATGTGCGCTACAAAGTCATGAAATCGGAGATGTTTCAAAAAAACTTGCTGGTGAACCATCGAAAAGCGGCTCAATTCGATGGTTTGATGCAGTACCTACAAGATTACAGCTTTCAGGAGTTGCTCGCGCACAATAATGTTGTAATCATTGAGCCGGTCCGCACCAAGATCGAAAAGATCTCCGACAAACCACCACAGGCCAGTCCGACGACCTGTCGGATCACTACGGGGGCATTGTCCAACCATGGAGGTGGAGAGAACGTCAAGCGCGTATCGGGACTGAAGAAGCACTTCTTCTATCATCCCATCCGGATCAACAAGGAGCTGTTGGACGAGGAGCTCCCCAGTCCCGATACGGTGCGGAATGTAAGGAAGCTATTCGAGGGTACCCTGCGGCTGGGAACGGCAGCCAAACAGGCATACGAAGATGCCAAGACCAGTGGAGGTAAGTATTGTGCTACTTGGAGTGGTACAACAGCTAACGTAATAGATCAAGTTGCTCACGCAGGTATCCGCAAGTGGGACTCGGCGAGTTTATCCAGCGGAGTTTCCAGTGGAGATTTGAGTTCACCGTGCGAGTGCGGTGAAAACGAGATGGACGGAGATTCCGGCGATGAGAATCTGATCGGGGACGATGAGTTGGAGTCTCACTACGTTAGCCAGGACGTGTTGGAGAAGATACGGGAATGCGGATCTACGGTGACGTACTACGGAGGTCAGGTGGTGGATAAAAAAAGTGAACACATGAATACGATGACCAAAGCCATCATGAAGGAGATTCGTGGCCTGGAGCGGAAGACTTGCCAGGTTTGCCAACCACATGGGTGCCGACAGCTGATCGAGCAGCGCCAGAGTGCTAAACTGGACGGATTAGGTACGGTAGAGCATGATCCCAATCGGAAGTCCGCTGGATTGTCAAGCTGGTAGTTGTTTGTGAATACGTACTTGCGTGACTGTTAGGTAGATGTAGGTATTGTTCATCAGAGTGTGAGTGTGTGTGTGTAGTATAACCACAGCCACAGAAAATAGCTCATATCGTACCAAAGCACGAACAAAATTGAAGGTAAATCGAGTTCCCCACAGATGTATTCCCATAATGTTTAGTTTATGTAAATAACCAACGGCTATGGGAACACGCAAGATCGGAAACTGGTCATCATCAGTCCACGCTTTCTATCTAAAAGTCATCGCAAATATACGTATAACCATACCATGCTTACCATTCCATGCTTTCGATGCACAATTTCGACCGCATTCCTCGATAACCTAGTCTAATCACCGTCTTATCCCCCCGTTTTTAGGCGTGAAATTTAAACTGGTAAAATCAAACAGCTGCAGCAGTCGATTGGAGCTTGCCGGCACCGGCAAGACTCCACCGGATCTGATGAAGAACAATCGTAACATTTCCAGCGGCGGCAGTAGCATAAATTCCGGACGACCCAAGCTTTCCAAACCATACTCCGTTTCAGCCACCGACAGCAACAACAACAGCCCCAACGATCTACCGGATCTGCGAGACCTTCCAACCGTAGAGGAGCCCGAAGAATCTGTCCGCGATCTGGTCAGTCGACTGGAGAGCAACAATACCCTAAACGCACGCAATAAACCCCGAATCATCGAATCCAAGTGTATCGAAAAGGTGGACGAAGTCAAAGCGGAGCCAGCGATCACCATCAACAGTCAAACGATCGAGGTCCCTCCAGCTGCTCCAAACACTTCCCAACAACAACCACCACCACCAGCACCACCAGTTGACGAACATGCCCCGGTAACCGTCAACAACCACATCACCGTTCCCATCCAGCTGATCATTCCAGCATTGCTCAAAGATCAGAAACCTCCAAAGACTCAAAACCACCAATCGACAGCAGATCGACCGCCAAAGGTTTGCCGCAACAAGAACGTCGACTTGGCATTCCAAGCAACGATCACCAAGGCTAGCAACAAGCCAGCCAAGGAGAAGGAAAACCTAGCCCGCAAGTCTTCACTGGTTACGAGCAGCTCCTTGGATACGGCGGATTCTCTGGAATCCATCATTCTACCGTCCAATGCACCAGCACCCAAAATGGTGACGTTCAAGGACGATAAGAACAACAACAACAACAACAGCAAAGGCGGAGATATCGAAGAGCAGGAGAATCTGAAGCCGAGTGTCCTGGTGGAGCAACGCAAGTTGGACGAGTTGACGTCGCCGAAGCTGGTCAACTGGAGCTCGTTGGGCAAGTTTGACGAGCGGCAGTACTTTGCCAACGACAAGAAGCTGATCGAGAAGCGCAAGTACGACGAAATGGAGTTTGAAGAGTTTGAGGTGCTGGATCCGAATGCGGTGCTTCAGCAGCAAAAGGAACAGCAAGAGCAGCAACAGCAGCAACAGCAGCAGCAGCAACAACAGCAAAGTGAGTGCTACGACAGTTTGAATAGTGGAAAGTGAGAGGATTTCAAGGAGAACACGGTTGAGGATGGGCGAGGGGGTTAGGAGAAGAAGAAGAATGTGTACGGTATTTATATCTGTTGCGATTATTCAGCTAGTATTATATTGTACTTATTATCTGTAGAATGGAATATTATATGTAACTGTTAGACAAGTGGGATGTGTTTGGATTGAACTGATGACTTTCCCCTACGTAGCCGGACGGTAATTGCGGGGATTCTGATCCAGTCGGTTTTGCTCTGATCTCCAGGTATCTCTGCTGCAAAACTATCTCTCTGGAATTTGGGTTTGTTCAATCCACTAGCTCTGTTAGGAATTTCTTTTGCTTTTTTTAAATTCCTTCTTCTCTAGCACCTTTTCATTTTTGGATATCTTACATTCTTCATAATTGTTTCTAAGTTTATGTAACAGTGTTTACTTAGATATCATGTTTTTTCAACATCAATCTCAGGCTCTTGAGGCACACAGCTGCCACACCGAAGCTTCTTGTTAGTATTAGTATAGCATTTCCTTCCAACTTTTTTTTTTTAAGTTATTAGTATCTTTCTCTACAACAGCGTTTCTCAATTTATGCCACCGGTGGGTCATGTTTTTGATATCTCGTGCAAAATTCATGTGAATTTAATATTATGTTGGTATAATCCAAAATTTAATTACCAATCTATTTGCTTAAATGTTGTTACTATGGCATGAATTATAAATCATCAATTTTTCGTTTTTGAAAATTATTACAAATGTTCTACCAAATTAATTGAATATTATTTTTCTTAATAATTTTAAAAACAAACAGGAATGCCATTTTGTGATTAATGGGATATCAATGCTTTTTAAAGGTTGTTTGGGTGTTTTTCAGCTATTCCCAAGTAACATTGCAAGCTTTTGGAGGTTATATAGCATTCTACAAGTCTAATTCATGATCTACAGAATCCTCATAAAACCAAAAATATTACTTGAGTTCTATCAGTTATTTAAGTACTATTCATGTGTATCCAAGCCATTTAGTTATTTCAAGGACATTTTTTCCATTTGAAAGCAAGTTTAGATATTCTAGAACAGTTTTGGGCAATTTTTGGCGTTTTAGGACCATTGTGATATTTCAGTTGTCGTTTTAAATATTATTATAAAAGTTGTCTGACCGTTTTAGCGATAAGGCTATTTTGGTATTGCTAAAGCTATGTTAGTCCATTTGAGTGTTTTGATGCCACTTTGGGCATTAGCGCATAGTTTAGCTATTGTGAGGCTATTTTTAGTATTTTGACTTTTTTAAGACTAGTTTGGTATATAAGTGATTGTTTTGCGAGTTTTCAAATCGTTTTCAAATACCATTTCAGCGCTTTTAAGCCTTTTTCGTTATTATAGGCTGTATTTTGCATTTGTAAAGTTATTTTTATTCTCATCGTTTTGAGGTACTCTATTTGGTTTTTAGACTACTTTATCGTTTTGATACTGCTCATTCGATTCGATGAATCTTTCAGTTATTTCAGGCTGGTTTCACACTTATAAGGTCGTTTTTTAACTGATTTGCCGTTTGAGCGCAATCTTGTCGTTTTCAGTTTTTGATATATTTTGGCGCTTTTAACCCTTTTTAATACCACAGTTACTACAGTTTGAACGTATTTTTTTTTGCGTTGTAAAGCCATTTTGGAGTTTCCATGGAAATTTTGACCTTGCAACATCTGTATTCAGTATTGTTGGGTCGCAAGCTCATAAATATTTTCATAGTGGGCCACAATCGACACCCTCTTTCAATTTAATCAGTTTCTCACTTTCTTGTTCTCTCTTGTATTCCTTTAACATCTCTTCAATATCTAAGTTATTTCTAAAACAATAATCCGGCCAGTTTTCTTCAGCTAGATTTCTCTAGCACCTTCATCTTGCCTATAGTCATTTTCCCAGTCCATGTCCATGGCTTGGGTAGTGAAACGAAGCTGATGCTTTTTTTTATCACGACTCACTGAAATTTGTGAATTTTTCACGACCCCATAACTCAATTCGAACCTTGAACTCCACTTAAAAATGCCCAGTTCGTTGGAGATCTTCCACCAACTTAAAATTTTAATTAATCAAACAATGTCCACTCAAATCGGATCATAATTTTCCGTTCGAACTCTTCCGGGAAATAATCAGAAACATCCGCCCCACTGCTCTCTTATCACCAAGTTTCCGCTTCAATGGCTAGATAAAAGCTATGATTGCACCAAATGGCAACATTCCCGCTGTAATTCCCGGTGCCAGCGGGAGGATGCTGCATTCGACAGAGTGCCACTGGCGTTTTCAATAGACCCGAGCAAGGGAAAGCAGGACAGTTGGAAAATTAATGATCAGTAAACAGGCCAGTTGTGAAAGGAGCCTGGTCTGCAGCAAATTGATGACCGTCCCCGGGATGGTGGATGAAAATAAATCCAATGATATGAATAAATAAAAATCGGATGGAAAACAGTATACAATGGCTTGTCAGTGAGTACTGCAGCAATTACAGCTTTTCACAGTTCATTGAGAGTAAAAGAGTTCATGGTGGGTTACTGTTCCTATTTTGGGTCCATCATTCTATTATGGGCATATAATTGAATTCCTAAGCTATGCATTGTTTTAGGAATTTGAATTACAAGATGAGAGTTCTGATTGGCTGATACTGAAAAACTGTCAAAGTTTTAGGAGGTGGGGAGATCTTGAAGTTCTAGACACGTGTTCCAAAAACATTCGAATGACTCACATGAGAACAGCTGTAACAAGTACGCTTTTCCATTTATTTATTTAGTTATTTATTTGTACAAAATTCTTAATTTTAAAATTTTCCACATTTCCAATTTTTAATTTTTTTTTCTTTATCGGACTTAACATGTCTAAATGAAGCCTGATGGGGAAAAGCCTATAAAAGGCGTAAAAACCCCATATCTTTTCGAAATACATGAATCACAATAATACAATACAATTACAACGAACATTAATCAAGTCTATAGCATAAAAAAAATTATCCTCCTATGGCATAGAGTTGTCCGTGAATCAGGTAGAAGTCCTCGTCCTTCTCAGGAGTCTGCGTTGAATACGGTGACGAAAGGTTTCCGCTGCACAGTTAAAGTCGAAAAACTCGTAAAACTCGTTGAAACGCCCAGACATGAACCGTATTGGGTCATGCAAGCTGTAGTTCGCAGCACGAGGTCCAAGATGCAGGAAACTCCTCGACCGAAGAACTCGTTCGGATGCGTAGATTTCGAATTCAGCCAAGATTCCTGGAGAGTCAATATCACCAATAAGTACTTTCGCTGCGAACATGGCCTGACTAATCGTCCGCCTATGATCTAGTGTTTCAAGACCCAGTAGTTGACAACTCTCTTCGTACGGCGGAAGGTTCACAGGGTCATTCCAAGGAAGGTGACGAAAGGCATACCGAACAAATTTCCTTTGAACAGATTCAATCCTCGCTATCCAAACTGCTTGATACGGGCACCATACTACCGAGCTGAATTCCAAGATCGATCGCAATAGAGAGCAGTATAGAGCTTTTAGACAGGCAGGATCCCAAACTCGTCAGCGATCTTGAAAATGAACCCGAGTTGCCTGTTAGCTTTCGCAACGATGCCCAAGTAATGAAGCTTGAATGTTAAGGCGCAGTCCAGCGTGATTCCTAGGTCACGAACGTGTGGACAATACGCTGCAGAAGTTGGTGATTTATCGTATAGTTGAATGCCACTGGTTTCAGCTTGCGATGAAATGAGATAATATTACATTTTTGTACATTCAACGTGAGATAGTTTCTTGAGCACCACTCTTCGAAAGTATCGATTAGGTGCTGAAGCCACAAGCAATCGGCGAAGCTACGAACAATCACATAGATCTTCACATCATCTGCGTAGAACGATCGGCAACCAGTTGGGAGGATCAGTCCGGCCTCATTCACAAAAATCGAGAATAGCAATGGTCCCAAGTTGCTACCTTGAGCTACCTACCGATTCTAACACAAAGTTCCCGATTGGTCAGATAGGACTTGAACCAACGAGTTAAACCCGAGGATACACCGAGTTTTTCAAGTTTAGCTAGCAGTATGGAGTGGTCAACCCGGTCGAATGCAGCCTTAAGATCTGTATATACAACGTCCACCTGCGCTCCAGCTTCCATACTCCGAAGACATAAATAAATGAACGGAGCTAGATTTGTTGAAACTGATCTCTTGGAATAAAAGCCGTGTTGGTCAGGAGAAATGTAATTTCTGCAGCTAGAGAATAATGCGTCGTTGATGATGATTTCGAAAACTTTAGAGCAGGCACTGAGTGATGTGATCCCTCGGTAATTTTCGACGTTTCTCTTGTCTCCTTTTTTGTAGATCGGGAACATGAATGACGATTTCCAACGCGTAGGGAACTCCCCCTGCTGTAATGAAATATTGAACAGCTTCGAAAGCGGTGTTGTAAGCTCTGAACAGCATCGCTTCAGGATGCTTGAGGGGATCCTGTCAGGGCCAGCAGCATTAGAAAATTTCAGCTTCTTGATGGCGGATTCGACGAGGTCTACTGTAACCGAGGTAATCGAAAAATTGAAAGCATCACTGGGAGTGTCCCTCACCGCTTCAGCAACTTGGGACAACGAAGCCGTAGTGTCATTGAAAATGCTTTTGAAATGTTCTGCCAGAAGATTACATTTCTCAAGGGAATTGCTGGCGATTCTATCACCTAGGTGAATTTCGACTGGTAGCCCCTCCTCGTTTCGTTTGGTATTCACGAATGACCAGAACTGCTTTGAATTAAGCCGTAAATTAGCCAGCACACGCCTTGTGTAGCCCTTGTAAAGAATGCGGTTATATGTGCGATATTCGTTGCTCGCTGTTGAAAATAATCGTTTGGTGAATGGGTTACGAGTACGACAGTATTTACGGAGGGCCTTCGATCTCAGACGCTTCAATTTCCGTAGTCGAGCATTGGACCATGCGGGTTTGGGAGAGGGTTTCCTCAATGGGACAGAATCAGTTATTGCCCGGCCAACGACATCAGCGAAGTAGTAGTTTACGGCTTCATCAATAGATGAACACGTGTCAAGGAAATGCGAAATCTGCTCTACGAAAGTCGAGCTCATGTACATCAACAGAGGGGTTATCGTAGCGAACAGGAACAGATAGCTTGATGGAAACTTCCAACGCAGGATGATTGGTGTCGATGCCAA